CAATTTGAGAGATATCAACCTCTCCTCGTATGACAACCCCTCCATCTCAGGCACCATTCTAGTAACCCTCCTCTGAACCTTTTCCAACAAGTCAATGTCCTTCCTTAGGTAATGAGCCCAAGACTTAGCACAATACTCCAAATGTGGCCTAACCAATGACCTATACAATGAAATTATAACCTCCATATACCTGTATTCAATATTTCTGTACATACAACTTAAAATCCTATTTGCTCTACCACTAAAGACCCTTCACAAAGATTTTTTTAGTACAGTAGTAATCTTTAAGAAGCAAGGTTATCTGAACAAGACTAAACTTGGAAAAGTTACATATCAATAGCCCCACTAGTGAACCAATAACAGCAGCAGTGTCAAAAATACTATCTATGAAAACAATATATACAAATATGACAATAACTGTCTAAACTATTTATTACTTACCTAAACAATTAAGAAGAAATGAAGTTACCTTCAGAACTGTTATAGACACTCCTGCCATCTCAAGGGATGTCATCAGGGTTCCAACATAAACACGTTCCACTAGCAACCCCATCAATTCTAGTGTTTTGTAGACGAAATTGTTATGATGCAACAAATTAGAGAAAAAAACATACAAATAAAAGACATTAAATATGGTTAAATTATAGTACTATATAAGTAAAATTGTAATATTGTTGAATTCATCATTGAATAACAATAAAATAAACACTAAATGCAAATATTAAGCAGTTAACAAAAAGCAAAATAAACTCAACAATACTGTAATGAAATAACTAGCCTTGCCAAAATTAACACACAGTATCTTATGAAATTCTCAACTATCTTATCTATCATTCCGAGATTGGCCAGTTCACCAAAATGTTTGCTCTCTAATACAGCAAAAACAATTTTCCAACAGACAAGTTTTTTTACCATTATGTATATTTCTTTTTATGACCACCATTTGATTCTTTATTTATCACCTTTAATTTCTGTATTTCATTTCTGGACACCAGAGTATTAGATATCTTTCAAATGTAAGAAATGTGACATTATCATCTTGCAACAAGGCACAGCATCCTACTTATTTATTATCATCATTTACATTTTTTAAAACTTAATACATTTAACCCCTCAATATTTTTCAAATATTATATCATCAATATTATGCTCATTTTCAAAAAATACTGATTTGCAACTGACCATATGTATGCTTCTTCAGATATGTTGTATAATGCTCATTTTGAGAATTCTTTGTGGTATCAAACCTTTGGTTCCATTAAAATTTAAAATCACCAGAAGAAATGTGTCCTGGTTCTAAACTTGGTGAATATTGGCAAAAATTGTTTATCATTTGTTTGTGGTATAAGATTGTTTTCTTTTTTCTTATTTTAATTCACATTTAAATATAAAGTCTGATCTCTTTAACCAGACACTATCGGCTAATTTCATTTGACAATAGCTTTTACCTACTTTTGTTCTTTAAACAAGTTTTTTGAATAGAGGTGTTACAACTTTAAAGATTAAACTCCTTCCATGATGACTCAATATTGTTCAATCTAGTGAAAAGGTAACATGTAAATCTGCTTCTCATAACCATCCATAAAAATAATTCTCACTTCTAAGAAATATGCTCATTCATAGGACAATGTTTAGTAGTACACATATATTATGTTCGTTTTCTTTCCTAATTTGGTCTTGAACATGCTTTGATGTAAAATGCTGGTTTGATTTTATAGAAAAAAAAATACTTAACACTTTGAGAAACTTCATTATTAGAAACAAACACGTATCATTATTTCTAAGTTGACTGGTTTCCAATTTCATGGTCATAATTTTTCATCCATATAAATACAAAAAACTATAGTTTTTTTTTTTCAAAACATGCTAACAGTAATAACTCACAAACAACCATTAGGTTCACTTGACTACTGTAAGATGGATATTCATAGCATTACCTTATTTGGCCACACTGCATGCATAATATTTTAAATGAATTCATTCCTCTCATAATGTATGACTTTATCAAAGAACAAATTAAACTAAAAAAATGAGCATTCTAGACTTGAAAGAAGATTACACAATTTGGCCAAGCAGCTAAAACCAAACTTCAAACAGAAATAGTGATTTGCTGAAAATGACTAAGTAGATAAAAAAATAAAAATATCATTGATTTCAAACTTATTACCAGGGAAAGTTTAGTTCTACACATAACTGAAATCAACAAAAATTAAAATAGATTTTGTGATTTTCATATCAGTAATAATAAATTTCAAACTAATCAGATGAGTAGAAATATACTCCATTTGAATAGCAACATTTTACTTCAAAACATAAGTCACACTTTCTACATTTATAAGCGTTTTGCCAAATCAATTAACTTAAAATGTTGTAAAACTGAATTATGAGGTACAAGCTAAAACTTTTTTTTTTCTTTTATGAATGATTAAAGGGGTTATAAAATTTGATAAAATGATTTACAAAAGAGCAGCCAGAAACTAGGAACTACTTAAAGTTGAAATAAATAGTATAACGTAAGGAGATAATTATACAAACAAACTTTATGTGATAATGTATGTAAAAACATTTTAAATCACAGGGATGATTGATCACACATCACAAACTTTCAGTTACTATGAGTTACCTATTTTGTTTGTGGTTACCCTATCAGCAGACAATACAAAAGTCAAAAAAGTATATAAAATACAGAATAGAGCCTTTTCTTTTACAGAATATAGAAAAACAAATATCAAAACAACTCTTAAATTTACTTTTTGCTCTTTTTCATACGCATTAGTTGCTAATAATCTTGTACACTGATTGAAATACTAATAATTCCTTCCAATGTTTCTAACATTTTCCAATACTTTAAGCAAGATGAAAAATAATGAATAGCAGACAGGCTTGGAACAAGTCAAATGATACAATATCTGAGGTAGTCATGGTTCTATATACACATTTTTGGTACATTAAGATATTGTGCACATAGGAAATATGCACCTGTTCAACTAGTGAAATTCTAGATCCTTATCTAAGTGTAATGGAAATAATCCAGTAAATAAATAGAGAACATTTTGTTTGTTTGTATTGTTCAGAGATATTTGCTCTGAAAACTAATTTTCATTAACAAAATTACATAAGAATTTTGTGTGTGATTCATAATTATAAATCTAAGATTCAATACAGAACTTGAACCGTTACTATTTTCATTCAATTACAGGTTTAAGTATGTGATAAAAATTTTTCTTAAAACAGTTTTTTAAGGATATGTAAATTAAGATTATATTGATACACATAAACTGACAATATCACAAATAAATTGCAATAATACTAAATTTCACATTAGAAAATGTAATAAATGTATTGTTGGCTACAAGCTTACCCAGATAACTAATTGTCTCTTTGGCAACTATGTTCATCTCCATCCGAGAAGTTCCCCCTAGATTGTTGATTACAACTGCAACACAATCACCTGAAATATAAAATACTTCACATGTAAAGTTTGATGTACACTATTCACAGGATACACATAAAACAATGTCACAGTATAATTTAGTACTTTTCTATTCTCTGATCCACCAATACATTACTTAAACACCAAGGACACACAGCAACTCATGCAAGAGTAATAAATGAGCAAAATATTATTTTCTCAGAGTTGATTTTTTTGCAATCCATTTGAAGTTTTGTAGAATTTTGTAATACATATAATGTAAAATCTGATAGATTGCTTTTCTGGGTAACATATCATTACTTTAAACTAAATGCCACTAAATTGTAATAAAATTAGTGTGCAATTATCTTATTTACAACTTTATTTTTTTACTGTGATATTAATAGAAAAGAAAAAGACAACTGAAAAATAATTCAACCTAGTTTAAAATATTTAAAAATAAAAGTTAATTAGGCTGAATTATTTGTTTCTAAAAGTCCTAATTTTTTTTTGGAATGGAAAACAAATTTATTACAAGTAGATTAATAATAATAAAATACAACACTAATAAACACAAATACAAAACATTATATACTATTTTCAAACCAAGAGCTTTTAGCTTATCTATGTTAATAACATTAATTATTTAGTATCAAATTAAATTAAAAAGTTAATTCAGCATATTACACATACTATTAATCTGGTAGACAGAACAGTGACATCATCATATAATCTTGATATTAAAAACCAATTTACGTTTTTCACCAGTGTCCACTGAAACTTCAGATAGAGATGCAAGATATGGTTTTAAATATCTATATACCTGACCAAGATTTGACTTTAAGTGCATAAGTAGTGAAACACTGTTATACTGTTATCATAAATGTCTTATTACCAAGACTACTTGGAACAGGCAATAAACAAAGATGTTCAAAACTATATATAAAAAAAAATATATTAAAATCAATATTATATTAAAATCAATTAACTTAACTTCTCATGTTCATTCACTCATGCTCATATCAAATTTATTGTGTGTACAATCAAAAGTATCTATCCTATCAACTGTTATACTTTATGAAGAATAAGGATTTTGCTTTCACACAAAAGCCTATGAAACTTTTTTATTTACTCCTTATTTCTTTGAGTACTAATACGTAGAATTATTCATTAATCAAAAACTTAGTTTTTATTTGGATAATCTCTGCTATTTCTAATTAAAATTAATGAATGTTTGTTTTATTCTTGTTATTTTCATATTTGTTTCTTTGCATTTTTTCATGACCTCTAGAATACAAACATACAAATTTCAACATTTTTCATATAATAAAAAAATAAGTACTAACAACTAAAATCCAAACCTTTTTTCACATCTAGCCTTGATGCTGATTCTGGATTAGTCATGTGATCCACCATCTTTTTCACAACATCCTGTGCTGGCATTACCTAATATACCATAAAAATTATAATTAGGTCCCTAACCTAAACCTGTTGCAAAATACTAATAAAAAAAACTTAATGTTTTATATTGAGCAACTTATAATCTTAGACTTAGTTGTCCATTTAAATTAAACATTTACAATTACACCAACTCAGCATCATGGACTATATCAGATGAGAGGACCAGTCTGTAGCATAGCAGCTTGAGAAGAAACATGTACAATTGCCTATTTGTGATTTCTGATAGTTAGAAAGTTTAATTATAATTTATTGAAAATGAAAAACTACATTTATACATTTTGTCAAAACATTCTTTATCTCATTATAGTGGTCTTATTGAAAATGGCCCAGCGGTATGTCTGTGGACTTACAATTCTAGAATCCGGGTTTCTATACCCATGGTGGGCAGAGCACAGATAGCCCTTTGTGTAGCTTTGTGCTTAACTACAAACAAACAAACTATTGTTTTTAAACAGTTTCCATTTAAAGATAACATGATAAATTATGCCTAGTGTTATCACCTGGATACTAGTAAGTTATAATAGATTTGTTACTGAACATTTTACTATTAACAGTTACATCTTGGTTTGAGGACTAGAAATTTTAGAAAACAAAACACATATATACACACACACACACACTATTTTAACATGAACAATACATTTGGAACAAAACCTAAAGGTTACCAATTATTTTACTGTTAATAACAGTATATAAATTGTTAGAGTCAGAACAAAATCATGTACACGTGTACTTCAATCCATATGAACAGACAGTTTGGAGATACAAATAGTTTTCATTTCATGACTTAATACTTTTAAAACAAAGTTTTGTGGAGCAGAAGTTTGGATTGTTCACTCATATACGAACTAAAACAACTGCTAATGACAGTTATTCTTTTATTTTAAAACATTTAAGAAACAAAAGTTTTATAACTCTCACAGTAACTCTTATATAAAAAATGGGTAAAATTATATACACAGGTATCTTCTTATAAGAATATTGTGTAACATATTTCTATTGTTTTGGGATAGTCTTTGCAAAAATGAAAATCTAATTACCTTTAGTCTCATCACACCTGCTTCTCCATGGACTCCTGTTTAAAATAGCAACACAGAAGAAAAGCATGCACCTTTACACATAAACATGCATGTATAAATCTATCAACTACCTTTAAACTGCCTACTTAAAATTATACAGAACAGATACATGCTATCAACATTACTATACAGCCACTTTGTTATTACAGCCACAAAAAACTTACTGAAGTGAATGAAAAATGTAAGCATTTTTTCAACACCTCCAATTTTCCAGCACTTCAGACTTACCTGTATATTCTGATATTACATTAATAAAATTACTGAGCAGCAGAACTAGTTGAAACAGTACACAAAACTCAAAACTTGTAATTCAAGTATGATGATCATTACCATTTAATTACACCTCATTAATATGAAAGTTTAGAAACTATTTTTAAATTAAACAAGACATAAACATGAGATGATCAGCTTAAATTAGAACTATTCATTAAACAATTAAAAGGCATGCATAACTTGAACAACAGCAGAAGGAAATATACTTTCAGACTTTAATGTGAAATGATAAAATGCAAGAGAAGGATAGTAGTGGATGCATAAAATCTGGAGTGAATTGCCAAACCAGAGATTTATTTAATTTCATTGAGATAAGGCCATACATAACAAAGAAGGTAAATTATGTTACATAACAGAGTGAGTTAAATAACACACTTTTTAAAAACAATAAAACTGTATGCAGACTGACAGACTATCTCCAAATTCTTCTTTTGTAAATCTTCTTTAAAAATAATGTTAGTATATAAATGATTCAAAATTTTACCATTGGAAACACTTAAAAAAGATTAAATATATTTTACAAAGAGATGGCAATACAAACAAAATAATGGTCTTCATAGTCAGATCCCAGAAATAGTTATCTAATAAAGTGAAACATCTAGAGTCATATCTAAGTTACTCATAGGAAAGCCATAAACTTCTTCACAAGCTCTTATTAGAATACAGAGAAATATTTTACTCATGTGTAAAATAAGTACTTTACTTTTAACCAAAATTAGTAAAAGGTTTTTATTCTATAGTTTTCCTAAATGTACTCCTATAAAGGTATCAAAATGTTTTAATTTTTTGTCAAGTCCAGCTTTCTATCATTATGAAATCTAATTTCATAAAGTTTAATTGCCATTTTATACTACATATTTAAAGGGGTATTTGTAAGTTTTGAAGTAGCAGAGAGATTGAAAGAAAGTAAAAAAAAAGGATCATCTTCTAATCAGTGACAATACATGGTTTATCCATTCCTAGCCTTCAAACTGACAGAACTGAACTAAACATAAATACCTTACCCAGACCCAATTCCATCTCATCAGATCCAAGACTAAAAGACGAATCACTTCCTGGGATGCTGCAAGGTGTAAGGCTGATTCCGATAGTTCCTTAATAATAACAATACGTAAAAATATTGTTAAATGTGAGATAATACTGTTCATTTTCCTAGAATTTTTAGCTTTGATTAACCATTTCTGTAAACATATCCCTAATAAACAGTATACGTAGGACTGCAATAATATATCTATTTATATAATACGAGTAAATTTTGGATTCTTTTCAAGTTTACCTGAGTGAGAGTATTCAAATAATACATCAGTAAGAAAGAAAACATATTTGGAAACCTAGTAATTTATAAATGCCTGTTCTCTCAAGATATCATGTCTAAAGTTAGTCTATTTTTTTAGAAACTGTGAAAAATGCATTACTGCTCTTTTCATTCAATGTGGTCTATGTTATGTGCTTGCAGTAAACAACAGATGTTCAATAAATACAGTAAGCTCTTATGACGTGTGTAACCTTCTCTACTCAGGATTCTAAGATGTTGCAATGATTACTGGTTTCATAATATGTTTTTCAAATAATTATTTGCCTATATCATTTCTCAGAAATTACAATATGCTGAGGACAGTTAAAATGCTACATTGTAAGAACAAAAGCTATGGAACAATTACCTCAATGAAAAATAATTTCATTCAATTCTCTGATAATGTAATTAATTCAAAATATTTTACATTAGAAGAGAGTCAATATTGGTACTACTCTGAGAAGTTTGTAACTTTTGTATTAATGTATCATCTCCAGTATTTTGTTACAAATTATAAGATATAAAATTAACAGATGGTAAAAAACAAATTTTGTTTGTAACAATGACAATGCTACAGTACCAATGATTTTTATTATTAACATGAAACAAATAGATTCAACCTCTTTGGTATTAGCTTTGATATCATCAACGTGAACAGGTTGTAACTCACATTTTACATATAAAGCCATTTTTTTCCCCTCTTTTTAGCACTCTATCCATATTAAACAATGTATAACCCTGTATTTCAAAGAAATTATTTTCATTATAATTACCTACATTAAGCCACGTTTCAGTTATTCCCATTACATCAGAATGTTCCAACCAATGTTCTAAAGTCATCCATTTTATTTCTTTTACTTCTAGCATTACAATAATAGCAGTCAGTTTACCCTTACATTAAAATTATCTTTATACCTTGTTCCCACACTATACCTCTCTTTGAATCTTATTTTTTTCTTCACTATTCTGTCCCTCTCCACACTCTAAACCTAGTTGTTCTTACAGTCGAGTAAATAGCCCTTGCAAACAAGCCAGTCCTTACCCTATTTAAATGTAAACCATTCAATCCAAAAAAACTCCATTTACTCATAAATTCAACCAGGTAGCTTGCTCTTCCTTACATATAAGCCTAGTGTTCAGCTCTAGCGACATACGTATAATTTCATCTCTACAGTTAAGTCTTAGCAGCATCCATGACAGAATTAAGTTATATTTACCCCACAAACTATCTTATCCCAGGTGCATACTAAATCATCTCCTATAACAATAACATCCTTATATCTTTCATTCATATCCTTATCAGTTCCTTTTATCATTCCCTCCTGAAGTTCATCATCTACACAAGCCGAATGCTGAAATCTGTTCTTTACCAGTATGCTCTTCTTTCACCACTAGCTCTACTTCCAATCTCCCTCAAGTCATCACTAGCCGCTGTATCCCTTGCATGCAAAATCTCAGTTTCCTCTCTTAAATCCTGCGACCACCTCCTGCAGTTTACCCTTCTCATTTTCTATCACTTCTGGCCTATTTAAACAGCCTCCAACTTCTCCTTTAACCTACAAACTCTTCATAAAAATTGTACAACTTCACTGTTAACTTCTTTAAATATGAATGTCAGCCCTAAATTTCCAAATAAAACCCACTCTTTGCACCTATCACACCTAACAAACTGTGAGCACTTAACATGTAAACTACTTTTATTCATTGTAGCCTGGGAATAAATAATCAACACTAAATGAAGTAGCTTATTGATGACACTGTCAAGCTTAATGTAAAAGTTAAATATGTTACACTATTTTATAACTACCTTATCTTCTCACAAAATTAGTTTGTCTTTAAAATGAAAAATGACAGTTTATTTAGCTTTTTTTTTTATTAATACAACTGATCTTGTTTTATAACTTACTGACATCAATACAACAGATATGATATACAAGTTTCTAATAACATGCAATAAATTCTAATTTAAACAATTTACTAATGTAATAAATTTTCAGCAGATATCAAATAGTAATAGAAATGCTGATATTTTAAGATAAACAAATTATTCTTTTTACTTAACCAAAACTAGAAGCAGTAGTTACCTGAAATTGCCTGATTATCAAAAACTAAACCTTAATGTTGTAACATTAGGCTAACTGTACCTGTATTAATGAAACCTAAGTGTTCTATCTCAAGCAAACTAACTAAAATGCACTCAAATAACAACTTGACTTTAAAATATTGAAATAGAACTTATCTTCTCTATTTTAACTTACAAAAACAATAACTTCTTTGTTCAGCATTCAGACCTTACTAACATCCAGTAGAAGAAATCATCCCATATTTAATAACAAGTACACACACCTTGTTTGGGATTTAATAAATACTTCATTTTATGCATTACTTTGTGTCTAGTCTCTTTCATTCCCAAACTCAGTTATTTAGAGGTTCAGTACTACTTCAGAATAAATCTGCTGAAAAACCTCCTGTAAAGCAGGCCTATCCCATTGCCTTAAAGTTAATTCAGTTTGACCTGGGTTTACCATACTGCTATTGGCAAAGTCTAGCTAAAGAGCTCTAATATTGAAAATAAATGCCTCTTAGGAAGTGAATTACAATGAATAGAAGATAGATCTAAAATAATATTTCTACACACACTTATTTGATTAAAAACCCATTATATATATTAATTCAGAATATTCTAAAGAAAAACATTGCAGTCAAGTATAAATTATTCAATTCACTTTTTTTCTCAGATACACATAGTTTAGTTTTGCTTCAAGCAACAAATAATTAAAAATCAGATACTAAGGCAGAAATAATTACTCCTCACCTGAATTTTCAGAAGCATGCTTCACTATTTCACAAATCTCTTTCAAAGACTTTCCTTCTTCTGCTAGAGCACCTGCAATCTATAATGTAACACCCATATACAAATTATTTAGTAAAATCTCTACAATTTAAGTATCATATTACAGAACAAAACTAACTACTATCACTGTACACTTAACATAAAAACAATTAATAGTCAATAACAGTATCTCTCAGATGTTTTACTTGATATCACCTTAAACATGAGAACGATGCCACACAGTCCACGTCTACCAGCACTTTTATCACTGCTTTGTAGAGCACAATCTTCACCAACAACAATCATCTCTACATTCAAACCATCCAACTTAGCTTTCTCCATGGCTGATCCAAAGTTAAGTCGATCTCCAGTGTAATTAGCTGCAATAATTAGTGTTCCAGCTGAAATTAAGAAAACACCTGTTTGATGAAATGCAATTACAGCTTTTCTATAAATATTGATAATTAAACTTTCACAAGAATGACTCACAATAAAAAGAAAAAAAAAGTTGTTTTAGAGGATCTGAAGTAAGCTTACATCAACTAACTTACTTTTCAGTAACAAATGCAAGTTAGCTGATATGTTTATTTTAGAGCATAGCCACATTGGGCTATCTGCTGTGTCCACTGCAAGAACTGAACCCCAGTTTTTAAGAGTTCTAAGTCTATAGACTTATTACTGTCCCATCAGAGGATGGCAAGTTAGCATTTATGTGGCTAATTCATATGTTGTTGTTGTTTTTTCATAGCATGCTGCATATGGTGCAAGAAGGTTAACAGCGAGTGTCCTTCAATGGTAGTTCAAATGATATCTTGAAGTTACTGAATCTCCTATGTTTGAATGGGAATGACCAGTCATGTGGGTAATGCTTGCTACTCTGGGTAAATACAGTTTCCTGCAAAGTAAGAAACTTTGGATTTAATCATTCTAGAACATGATTTAGTAGGGCAATCAACTTAAAGAAAGAATCAAATAAAAACACTCCATTCCAATAATTCAAGCACATACACTGTGTTTGTGTTAAGTGTGTTACAATATATATATTGTTCATTTCTTATTATATTTTGTGTCTAATACTTTATTTAATTTATTCTCACAACTAAGTTTCTCAGATATTTATCATTGTTTCATAATAAATATCTTGATTTGGTCTCCTGTTATTATTCAGACCTAGTTCATTCCTCTACAGTTAATTCAGTTTTATTTGGACTTACAACAGAGCGAATAAGAAGAAAACTTTGATGCCATGACCATAATATATCATTGCTGAGTTTGCTGTTCCTGCTGAATTATGCACTACCCTTAATTAAAGCTTAAATACCTCTTAATGATAGAAATGGCATTATCCACAACTAGAATAACTTATGAACAAAAGTTCAGTTACTAAAGAGAGATGGTTGTCTGAGAGTTGTATGGTAGAAAACATGTCCTCTCCTGAGTGTCAGACTTTTGCTAATGTTATGAACGGTGAAGGCCTATGACTTCTATCTCATTACAGCTAATGGAGCCAATCAATGTATAGTGCACTCAGAACAATTGTCCATACACTTCCCTGAGGATCAACCTCAGTGTGAGAGAAACATAGATGACTAAGGACTGTCATGGTGTTGTGGCAACTGTAAAGTCTGAGACTGAGTGGGGTGGTATGTATATAACATACAAATTAATGCCAGCTACATTACCCACTGTACCCCAACCAAAGCTCTGGTTGGAGCTTCCTGAGAACATCAGAGAGAGACTGTAGATGCTTGATGGACAATGTCCACTAACAGGAGCTATCTCACAAGAAGGTGAGAGGGCAAACACCGAACAGTGGAGTAAATGTATCATGGTGCAATAGTGAGCCTTTCCAAATTGGAAGGAATACTGTTGAGACAATCATGGATCCAAAAGAAGCATGAGATTGTGCAAAGCCAATAGATGAGTTGCTGAGCACACTTCTTCATTCTACCACCCAGAAGAAGGAGTCTACCCTTTGTCATAATGTGCTTACAATGTCATCTCATCCAGCTGATGGTCAGAAGCCAGGAAGAAGAGAGTTTGGCTTTATTTACAGTACAGCAAAGAAAGACTTGGCCTATTTTCTGAAGCAGTTCCGGCAGAAAACTACTTGGAATGGCTGTACTCCAGAACAGGCTGTACAAAACTTTGTTCTGAGAATGATCAACACCATTTGCATGGTAAAGGTTACCATTCAATGGCCTCAGCACTTTGCAAAGAATCCTAATTGACCAGTTTGTGGAAAGGCTATTCAGTGAAATAATGCAGCACCACTTGGGTATAAGTGATTTTCTCATCCTTACTGTTATGATGTGGTATAAAGTGGTAACTTAAAACCAGTCACAAAGGAGGAAGAAGCCTGTAATAGTAACTACAATGACTTCACTTTAGACAGACTATCCTACCAAAGAACTCACTTCATATCAGATTCAAACCCTTCCAAGAGTCAACCAATTTCCCACACATCCAGGAGTTGCAATGTAATCACACTGGTATCCAGTGTATAGACAAAGCTATCATGATCCTCCTACAGTTATATACTGCAACCTAAGTTGCATATACCTCTATCAGGATGTCATCCTGGTAGAAAGAAGCAAAAGAGCTGCTTTTCCTGTAGAACATCAGGTCACTTTTGAATGAACAGCCAATACCTTGCTCAGAAGCAAGATAGACAAGGTCATTGGTTCTGACCAATGGTGCAACAGATGCAAGAGAGCACAAACAAAAGACAATGACCACTACAGTTACAGAAAGCTAGAGGAGCCGAAGTCAGGTTTGGTTACTGACTTCACAGGGTACAACAAACAGCTTGCATCCAAAAGTGTGGTGGATAGCCTAGTTCTCTCTCAGAGATGGATTGGTCTTGTTAAGTGCCCGATGGAATAAAAGGGTGAAAGACAGAGTCATGGTTGATAAAACAGTGGCCAGAACACTGGTAGATCTTGTGGTATATTAGGTGATCCAAGCAAATCCATTACTCAGACCAGTCAACGGTCTCCATTCGAGCAAATGGAGATAAACTAGCCATGAATAGAGAAATCACACTCCAACTATATACAGGAGTCTTCACTTAAACAACAAAGATAGTCATTGCTAACCTTGGTTCTGGCAGTTGCACTCTTGAGATGGACATATTGTAGAATTTAATAGTCAGTTTTACCTATGCAGCTGATGAACTGAAGTTCCATAATAGTTATCTCATGTCAACCAGATTGACCCCAAAAACATGGCCTCAAAGAGTGTATATGAAAGTTACAATACCTCCATGTATGCACGTGGTGTTGTATGGTTTACTATGGACAAAGTCAGCACATCAATGTGCCTTTTATTTTCATTAACTGTGGTGAATGTTTTAATTTTGACAATGAAATATTTGGCAGGAAGTGAATTTTCACCTAAGGATAAATGTAACGACAAGGCTCATACTATGTCTGAGAGGAAAAGAATTTTACTTGTTTTTCAGTAAGAATAGTGAAAGATATTTCAATTGAAAAAAATCAAAAAAATTTTCTTTTGAGAAGGCAAAATATCAATAGTATATTAAATTTCTGGTTAGTACTTTAAATATCATAACAAATATAAGGTTGATGTACCCAGTGCTTTACTTGGTTGTAACAGACTGAAATATCTAATAAAGCAACAGTTTTCTAAATATTTTCTTAACATAGTTGCAGCACAAGGTACAGTATAAGATACATGAAAATGCAGACACAGTGAGTGTGCTAGAGAAAGATGGAAAGTAACAACTTCACAGTGAAACTTTACATCTCATACCCAAGCTAAAACAATTTTGGAACTACAAGAAGATCCCTAGGAAAAGACAGTCTAAACATTAGTGGATTTTAATGGTCAAAAGTAAGAGTTGATGTCACTTATTTCAAGTCAGCTCATTTGTGTAGGAACCAGTTTGCAGTCAATTCCTTTCCTACTGTAATTAAGTGCTGTTTATGTAACAACCAGATGGTAGTGGAAGGAATAGATTTGGATCAAAGGGTAAGTACATTGGTCATTGTCATAGGAATTGCAACAGGGAACAATGTGGTTATTGGTCAAGCAGAGATCTAATGAAGCCAGTGGACCAAGAAGTTCACAGGCTCTAGGAATACACGTTCTATGGTCAATTACAGCATAAGCACATGCAAACCTTATGGAAATGTTGCTTGACTAAAGTAATCCACTGATTATCTGCCTCTAAAAGTAGCAAAAATCCTAAAACAAAATAACTAATGTACTTTGTCATCCACTTTACAGTTATCATACAAAAAAATTATAGTAATTGAGCCAGCCAACTGTAGGTGATGGATGCTAACACAAATATAGTGGATCATCTTCATAGTAGTATATTAATTTTCCTGTTAAGGGTCATTAACACTATTATTATTTTTTATTATAAGGTGCTTTGATACATTTGTGTCATGTTTTGTACAAAGAATATCCATGTATTAAGTGTGTGTGTATGTTTATGTTCTTTCACTAACTTTTATATAATCTTGTGATATATTGTAATTGACCTATGTTAAGAGATTATTATTGTTCTATTGCAACATTGTACTGACAGATTTAATCTATTTATGATTTTATTACTTATTATTAGTATTATTGTTAAAGGATTACTACTACTACCATGCACTCAACAGCTCAAAGTTTTGTTTCTTTCTTGTGAAGTATTGCATGCCTATTTATGTTAAAGAGTTGTATCTTATGCTTATCATTTCTAAAATACTATAGTTTAGGTCAGTTTCTTTACTATAGTAAAAGGGTATAGAACTGATGAAGAAAGTATTGAAGAGAGGAGTACTACAGTAATCCATAATTTATAAAATACAAGTTTTGATATATTTCAGACCATTTCAAAAACAAATACTTAGGAGAGCAAATCAGTTCACACACTCACCATGGTTCAGGGTTTGAGCAAATGCTTGCTAACCTATTGGATCTTGTGGAAAGATACAGCTAAAGAATGGCAACTTGAAGATCATAATGAAAATCTTTGTTATTATACAGTTACTTCTCTCTTAAACCACTGTACAAACTAATTACATTATCACATGTGGTCTGTTATCTTAGGTTCTTTCAAGACTTTTGGATAATTTATGGTGAAACGAAATTACATTTGCAGTGTGCAATTTTCAAGAACAGTACAGTTATATGGGTAAAATTCACATGGCAAGGTAAGTGAGACAGAACAATTGCAAACAACAGCACTTTACAGGAGAGTAAGAGAATATTTGATACTTCTCGGCATATTATGTTATAATAAGAATCTACTAGCACTTGGTTTCATTACAATAAAGTGACACAGTCTCATAATGATTATTTCTAAACTTTAATCAGAAACTGCATAAGAATATCAGAAATCAAAATCTAAAATATAATGCTGTAATTATTGTCATTGCATATGGACAATGAGGAACCATTTAGCCCTTCAAGGTTGTCCTTGCAAACCTATCCTGAAAAAAAGAGTAAAAATTAAAACATTATTTATTTTTCAAGAAATAACCAATTCTCCCTTTAAGCCCTTGTAAGGTACGAGTCTCCACTACTACTGCCATCAACTCATTCCATAATAAATCTTATCTTTTTTCCAAATCTTAAAGTTGTATTCTCTCATCTATTTGTCTTCAGAATACATCACAAAGAAATTGAGGCATTTGTCCTATATCCTATTAACCTCCTTGTTAAGAACATTTTTGTAACAGACATGATAAGCATAAACTTTGAAAACCTAGAATCACTTTTTTTTTTAATGTACAGTATTGGAATGATTTCCTTACTGGTTCATCACATAGGTAAGTCTACTTGCAATAATATCAATTAAAAACAATAATCAAAATTAACAAAGTCAAAATAATAAAATTTTGTAAGTCAAAATTAGCAAGTCACACAATTTATGATTACAAAAATTACACTCGCACTATTCTAAGTTTTGAGTACAACATAAAAATATTTGTTCTTTCATGATGTTAAGAAAATACATAGGTTAAAAAAAATCTATTTAAAAAACAAACAAACTACAATTCAAGTGCTTTCCACAGGTGGACCTTTCTTCATCATAACATTTAAGAATATCATTTTGTATTTAAAAAACAAACAAACTACAATTCAAGTGCTTTCTACAGGTGAACCTTTCTTCATCTTAACATTTAAGAATATCATTTTGTAAAATTATGCGATGAAGTGGTTTGAGAAGGTAATTTTTATAGTATCATTAATGTTTGAACAGCTTACTGGCCTCCACCCAAAAAATAAAAAATAGCAATTTTGTTTTTAAATATAAATGTTTCAATTGAACATCTCATTCATAAAAAGTTTAATACAATACTTGCATACTTTTCAAAAATACTTTTACATGTAATAAATACCAAAAACTCAGTAGAATCAAATACTTAGGTAGTGCTCTAAAGATTGCAAAAATTCTGGTGTCCTACAATGTAGAATTAAACCTTATTTATAACCTATCTGAAGCTTTTTGATAGCTTTTTTTAAATAGGGATAATGTTACAATTTTTTTATTTATTAAATTCAGATGAATGTTCACCATTTTGAGTGATAAACTTAATGATCATGTGCATATCTGATTTTGCTAATACTAAAAAATAAATATGAAGCCCAATCTATCTTGATTCACTGCTTGTTAGAGTTATAGCAGTTCTGGGGAATTCCACCCCTCATCAGTAACCCTGGACAAGGGAAACATCAAAGGAACAAGAGTAATCTTTTTTACAGTCAGAGAGTGAATATTATAATATGATTTTGCTTATGTTTTTGTGCAATTTTGATAATGAACATTTAAATCTACTCAAGAACCAAGCATCTTAATTTTAAAGTTTAGTAATCTTACACTATATCACAACAGAAACTACAAAAAATTATAAAAAAAGTAAAATATATTACATTTACTTCCTGAACCTACAGCATGAAGTGCCATTAGTATAGCTTCAGAAGAGGGTGAAGTAAAAATTTCTCCAGGCACAACTGCTGTGAGCATGCCAGGTCCCACAAACCCTAAATCAGAAAAAAAAAATCAATATTGAAAATATATATCTATAAAGCATTTTAAAACATATGTACAAAAACAAGCTGAGGTCTAGCTTCCAATTTAAAGAGAAATGCTTACATAAATGTTGAAGCAACCTTACACTATTAACAGCAATAAAATCATAGCTAAAAAATAAAAAATAACCATTTTATAAAGGAACATTTAGAAATTTTCTGTGCATATCTTTTTCTTAGTTAATTGTATTGTTCAGTAAAAACAAAATGATGGGTTATTTCTTGTAAGTTTCAGTTTAATAAAGAATGCATCACATTTTCACACAAAACTGCAAAAAAAATCTGTAACTTATAGTATAAAAGCAGATGTTCAGCATAAATATTATTAGATAGTGAGATCACTTTACAGCCTAATCTTTCACCTTTGTTTATTTCCACATTGTTCATGAATGGTTTCTTCAACTGATGATAAGTATTCTATCTCTAAAACCTAAGAAGTAGCTTAAATATTTGCAACAACGAATTAATATTGGAGGATACATCAGACATCTAATGCTTCTAATTAGAGCTAGAGAGCAGTTTAAGTTACCTATAATACAGGTTAATTCTGTTTTAGAAGAATGGTTCTGAAAATAAAGATAACATAATGAATGAATATAATTATTTGTTTCTATTATTGAAAATATATTTCACTTAATAAAATGGGTTAATTTCATTTCCAAGGTAACATGAAGCTATATAAATTTAATTGGCTTACATCCCCAGTACAAGTTATGCAAACTTATAAAATATTAAAGAAACCTCTGATAAAAGTTATGTTTCTTATAAAAAAAGAAAAAGATTTATGTTAAGTATCAATACTGAAAATAAGAACTCTTCACACTTGCCACAGTGGAATGGTTCATGTCCCGAACCTCCACCGCTAACCAAGGTTACTCTTCCAGACTGCCTGTATTCTTCAAAGTCATGGCGAATAACAACACGACCTCCAGTGGTACTACTGTTACTAATCAGACGAAGTCCTGGATGAATAGCAGTTATCCCTAATAAATTATCATACACACAATTTTCGGGGGAATTTATAAGTTTCTTAAATCGTCCCTTGCTACTCATTCTTTCGGTATATTTCATGCCACCCAGTGGCACAGCGGTATTTTTGCGGACTTACAACGCTAAAAATCGGGTTTCGATACCCGTGGTGGGTAGAGCACAGATAGCTAATAGTGTAGCTTTGTGCTTAACTACAAACAAACAAAAATAAAATAATATATTCACTAAAAAATATGCTCTCCCAATTTAAAAAATACATTATTGGCCCAACTGGTCACTGTTTGATCGTCTGACGCGGACGCTGTCAAAGGTTTATTTATCAAATTACAGAGGGCCTTTGGAAAAAGTAATTCACGTGAGGAGTGATTAAGACAACTTGTTGCTGTAGTGGGGCGAATAATAAATTAGGTAGTCAGAGACAACAATGAATAAACAAATAACGTATAATGATCTGAGATGTCACAATATATTATACCAGAAACAACATCACAGCTGCACCAATTACCCTAGTAAGTTGATAAATATATGGTTTAATGTTTGTAACAGATATCAAATTATTTTATTGAAAGTCACGATTTCGATCTGTAATTGTTTTGGTAAAATTTGAAAAATATGCACAATAAAATCGCCCTCAAAAACAACACGGATTTATCAGAATTTATATTGTCTACTAGTAAACCAAATGTATCCATAAAATCGTACCAATTTCCAGAAGGTGGACGATAAATATCTATCGTTGTAAGTCCGCAGACATCACTGGACGGGGGGGGGGGGGGCATATAATTTTATATTGTGGTACTTTGGGTCATGTCATTGAACAGATAAGTCATAGATAACGGCGTCAGTTGTAACAACGTGAGACATCATACAAAGAAACAGCAAACACAGAACATTCAAAGACGCTCTATAGTTCCAACCATATTACTATTATTAGTGACAATACATTTTTTCGGTATTTCTACGTGCGTAGACATTTTACTGTGTTCAACAACTCTCCAATCATATATGAAGGCTAGCTGTACAAAACCTCTATTTAGGATATGGTGTTGAAAAAACCCAGAAGTGTTCCCTTTTCACCACCTGAAAGCAATTTGTTACGACAGCGAAAGTCACGTGACGCTGCTAGCGCATACGTGAATGAGTTTCTCGTATTCTCAGGGAACTCCTCGAATTTTGGCGAACCCCCTTCTCTAGTATATAAGCCTGGCAGGGGAAGCCAGCGCGTTAAGATAAAGTGTGAGTTTTGCACTTGTAGCGAAGTTATCGAGATTGTCAATCGCTGTGATTTATAGCATGTATTATAAAAGTTGTTAAGTTTAAACTGACGAGAAACGTATTGACTGTGGAATTACCGTTGTATCAAAAAAGAATAAACTGGTTTAATCAAGAAAGACTTGTATCGCTGAAGTTCCCCAGTAAGAATTTCCACCGGAAATTAACAAACAATCAGATAGTAACAAATTAGTGTCAGAGAGTGGGAGGAAAAGGAAAAAAAGAAAGAAGATGGAAACAAGAAGTGGCAAATCAAACTACAGCTTAGCAGATTGGATGGCAGCAATTCAAGAACAGCAAAAGAAACTTTTTGTTTATTTTCTTTCTCCTCTAACCACTGCTGTAGCCTCTCTTCTTGTTTCTTTTCTTTCTCCTCCAACCACTGCTGTAGTCTCTCTTCATGTTTCTTTTCTTTCTTCTACAACCACTGCTGTAGTCTCTCTTCTTGTTTATATTCTCGTTCTTCTTGATCACCCCTATTGCTGACATTCATGTCTGGAATGCGACTTCTGACAGGACTGAAGATGTCTGCATTATGGTTTAGCTGCGGAAGGGGCTTCCCGTTGTCTGGGGCTGATTAGGTTGATGGCTAATATATCCTCCTTGTGTAAAAGACAGTAAATCATATTTTAATGTATTTGATTCACTTTGAAATTTACTAATCTTTTCCATTTGTGTATGCTGGCTTTCTCTCAATTGTTGGAGACTTTCCTCCTGTTTCTTTTCTTGTTCCAGTTGCCATTGGTGCTGGTTCTCCTCCAACCACTGATGTAGTCTCTCTTCCCATCGAATTACTGTGGCTTCCTTCATACTAGAGCATATAAATCACAATTTAAGCTCCTGGCAGAAATGAATGGATGGACAGAAGAGCAGAAAGCAGTACCTGACAATGAACTTGAAGGGACAACCACTGGAAATACTTGGACAGTTGTCAGCAGACGACAGGCACAACTATAGAGCACTGGTAGCTGCTCTAGAAATCATATATGGAACTCAAAATCAGTTCGAAGTCTACAGGGCTAGGTTTAGGACTAGAGTCTGTGCTCAAGGGGAGAGCCTGCAAAAGCTGGCATGGGATTTGGAAAGTATGGCACACAAGGCCTACCCAACTGCACCACCTGATATCCTCAAGCTGTTGCTGAGGGATCAGTTTGTAGATGTCTTGGACAGTTCACAAGTGAAGCAAGCACACCCCTTTACTATGCAGGATGCAATGACCAGAACTTTTGAATTTGAATCCTACATTAAGTGCAGCGCAGAGGTACCAAGGTTGGTACAGTCATCAGATTCAAGGCCAGAAAAGGGCAGCTGTAACAAACCTTGGTACAAGAGAGCCAGCAACTTCAACACAGGG